TTCATTAGGTGTAATTTTATTGAGTGTAAAATTGTATACTGCCCTAGAGTTTGTAATCAGGTTGCTCACACCCTGGCGACCAAGGGATCGCTGATGGCTGGTATGGCTCCCTGTGTAACGGACGGACCTGATCCGTGTGTATCTCTCTTTAGCCCTGTTTGGTTCGGGTGTGGATTTTTAAAAGCAGCTGCGAAAAATCTGCTGTGGAAAAACAGCTGTGGAAAATCTGATGTGAAAAAGATGTAGGTCATTTGGCAAACCAGCTGATACAGCTTTTTCAGATTTTGGCCCGCAGTGGAATCAGATTTTGGAAAGCACGTCCTGGGCTGCTTTCGCTTTTGGTTCAGATTTTGGCAACAGATTTCTGGAATCAGATTCTGCTGGGTTTGCCCTTTGGTTTAGATTCTGCTGCGCGGCAGCGGAATCCGTCGATAAAATCTGAACCAAACAGGGCCTTTGTGGCGAGCGATTTGGCTTCACATACTGTTTAATGCAATGCATTGAAGCTCAAAAAAAAAGTAGGACAGTCTTTGATTGCAGACATACTCAAGAGCCAAGAGACCGTCCTACTCTCTTCCAGATTACATATTGCCTGTAGGCTGTAGCACATCAATTGCAGAGGCAGAACCTTGGAGAATCGTCTGGATGATCTGAATACTGAGCCCATAGGGTCATTGTTCGATATTGACACACGTAATTACTCCTTCCGTTTCACTATTATAAAATATTTTGGATAGTTCAATTCTACATACGGATTGAAATAAGTGAACAAACACATTAAAATGTGTATATATACATTCGATTCAGAAAAAAGTTAAAACATCTTATAATAAGGAACGGAGACAGTAACAAATGTTTGCTATCCTCAATTTCCTGTGACAGAAAAACATTTCGGATCATCGATCTGGTACCCGCTCAAGATATATCCTCATATTTTCTGCGATTTGATCTTTGTTAAGGTGCAAGTAAAGAGATGGGGTGATGACTCACTATAACTTGAGGAACAATTTCTAATTAGCAGACCTTCATTTCATACGAATTTGTATTCTTTCCTTTCCCTTTTCTTCTTTGTGGATTTGTATCCTTTCCTTAAGGTGGTGTGTAGTGCATACCCGAGCAAGTTTGGCTTAACATATGGAAGATTACAAAATTAAAGTGTTCCTGTGGCCGCTTGCTGGCAACTCTGTACCTCTCAAAGCAAAACTTATGCTCAGAGAAGCTCACACGTCCAGAAAACATCAATCACAACATTTGCTAGTATATTATACTCTCCTTTCACAAATATAAAATGTTTTGAATATTTCAATTAAAACATGTCTATTATACATCCGATTTAGAAAAAACAAAGTTAGAACATCTCATACTTTGACCCCATATTTTGAGTTATACATTGACCATATATTTGACTAGTAAAATATAAGTGATATGTCACCAAAATTATATTGTTAGATTCATATATGAAAGTACTTTCCACTTATACTATTATGCTTAAATATAACTTACATTTCATAAGTAAATTTATGTTTAAATTTTGACCTAAATACGAACGAGACTAATAAACCCCGGCGGAGGGAGTGTTCTACAACTATCTGCTATGATGGATAGATGGCAAATATGGACACTCGATCCAAATGGCATATTGTAATCTAATTTCATTCGATTCTTCTAGTAGTTATTAATTCGGCGGTTTCGCTTTGCTCTATAATGGACGGGTCATCCTCCCGACCTTCGTACTAGTGCAAATACTATCTCGAACCACAACCACAGCAACACCACACCCCAATCCCTCCCCTTTGCCTTGCCAGCCACAAATCCACAAGCCATGGGCGCGCCATACCAACCAGACGGAACACGAGAAATGTTCATCCATGGCACAGCCACATAGGCATATACCGTTAAATCGCCCAGACGGAGACCACACCAACCAAACGCCACCCGATCTTCAAAGAAAAACGTACTAGCATCGAAGCAGAGATGCTCCTGGCTCGCGCCTCCCCGGCCTTCCTGCCCTCCACCTCCTCCTCCCCTACCCCATCGTCGCAGACGCTACCGCCGTCTGCGTCCTTCGGGAGGAGCCAGCGCACCGGTGGCAGCCTAACCGTGGCATCGCCGAACTGCACCGTTAGACGGCCCGTGATGGCGGGTGCGGCAGCGGCAGTCCCGGCGGCAAAGCTGGAGGACGCAGAGGCGCTTATCGACTCTGTCGAGACGTTCATATTCGACTGCGATGGTGAGAGATTGATCCATCGATCAAGGTCTAGTTACCAGTTTGCTGCAGCTTTTCCTGAATGAATTGGCTGCTCTCTTCTTCTTGTTGTTGTGGTGGTGGCGGCGCGTAGGGGTGATCTGGAAGGGCGACAAGCTGATCGACGGCGTGCCGGAGACACTCGACCTGCTCAGATCAAAGGTCTGCTGTGTGAACTGTAATGGCTCTGGTAGATTCGCAGATGGATCATCTTCTCAAACTTCCTATGGCTTCTTGCTGATTTCATCAAGCTGTTGCTGTGCTGCAGGGCAAGAGGCTGGTCTTCGTGACCAACAATTCGACGAAGTCGAGGAAGCAATACGGGAAGAAGTTTGAGACGCTCGGGCTCAGTGTCAACGAGGTAGTATCTATTCCTGCCATGAACTGCTGTGTCTGTCCGTCGATCAATTTCCTCTAGTGCAAAATCAACTTGACGAAGCATGGATGGTCGATGCGCAGGAAGAGATATTTGCTTCGTCCTTCGCAGCTGCTGCGTACCTGCAGTCCATCGATTTCCCTAAAGACAAGAAGGTACACATGAAAATGTGACTGCATTGCATTTGTACACATGATTTAGCACAAAAAAATCAAGCACAGAGTTAAGTATTTCTATGGTCCAGGTTTACGTGATTGGAGAGGAAGGGATTCTCAAGGAGCTGGAGCTGGCTGGCTTTCAGTACCTTGGTGGACCTGTATGTAACAAAGAGTGACTCCTTTCTCTGTGATATTCATGATTAGTTAACATAACTGCATTTTAGCATGTTAGCTTGTGGTTTAGCCAATGTTGCATGCTAATCAGCATCAACTGATTTGAGTGGATGAGACTTCCGAAAAGTTTACCCGACTTACATTATATTGCCGTGCTCGTGCAGACAGACGGTGACAAGAAGATTGAGCTGAAGCCTGGCTTCTACATGGAGCATGACAAAGATGTCAGTATGATCATTGTTCATGTTCTGATCTTGAGTTAAGAAGTGCCACCACTGCAGTAATAAAATTTGGATTTTCACAGGTTGGAGCAGTGGTAGTGGGATTTGATCGCTATTTTAACTACTACAAAGTTCAGTAAGTACTCCTCTCGCCTTCAAAGTAATGAACTTAGACGATGAAAATAAGGATGGATATAAATGATTCAATTAAGACTGCTAGGATTGTAGAAATTCAGATGTGCATTTGATTTCACACTGAAAATACACTCATTTGATTAAACACGTGCAGAAGCAAGACCACATGCTAGCTCTTTATAATCTACAAAATTTGGTATTGCCAATTCCACAATGTAAACTTATCACTAATTTACTTCTAAGGTACGGGACACTCTGCATACGTGAGAATCCTGGGTGCCTTTTCATTGCAACAAACAGGGACGCTGTCACCCATCTCACTGATGCCCAGGAGTGGGCAGGTTAGTCAGGCATTCCAACACTTTATATATACTACCAGCTAAAAAGAACTCTTTATGGATACTGCGGAAGGATACATACCACAGTCCCTTACTGAAATCATGAACATTTGCCTTGGCCCAGGTGGCGGGTCAATGGTCGGCGCTGTTCTTGGTTCAACCAAACAAGAACCGCTTGTCGTCGGGAAGCCGTCAACATTCATGATGGACTACCTGGCAAAGAAGTAAGAGGCTAACTGTCCGACCAGTGGTCCAGCTCCATGAATCCATTTCCAGAACTCTGCAAGGAAGAATGTGTGAAGCAAAAGCTGATGTCTAAGAATAGTTTTGAGATGTTTTACCTTTGTTCTTCTTTGGTGGCAGGTTTGGAATCACAACATCTCAGATATGCATGGTAGGTGACCGTTTGGATACTGACGTTCTATTTGGGCAAAATGGAGGCTGCAAAACTCTTCTGGTTCTTTCAGGTATCTTGATCATACCATTCACCCTGAACTCTAGTGCATGCTCTGCTGAATTTGCATCGGCACTAACCTTGGTCGGCTGCCTTCTGCAGGTGTGACTTCTGAGCAGATGCTTCAAAGCCCCGACAACAAAATCCAGCCAGATTTCTACACAAACCAAATTTCTGATTTTCTCACCCTTAAAACAGCAGCAGTATGAACAGAAATGTGAACGGACTGTTTTACCTGGGGAGGCCCATCACTTTTGTATAGCAACGAAGAGATCACAGGGATGGTTTTCTTTTTCACATCGATTTGTAATCGTGAGACAGATGTTTAAATGCAAGTATGTATATCATTAAATGCATATCAATTTGATGCTGCTGCCTACTTTTCCTTGGCTCAAGATTAACACACAGAAGATCTATGCCAAAATATGCCTGGTTAATCTCGAAATGTGAGCCTATAGAAGGCAAATATGATCCCAGAAGGAAAAATAAGTTGCATCACCAACTCTTATGTTGCTTATGAGAAAATATTCCAAAAGAGAAGCATTACTGTTTGTATATTACCTCTAACAATACTAGCAACAAAGTGTTTCACTCAGATCTTGTACCAAGCTGTCCAAGCTATCTTGCTGGGAATCAATAAATTACTAAAGCATGAACATCGAATTATGTGTATGCTCTGTATTTTTATGTGCAGAAGATCAAACACAAATGATCCGATCTGGTTCCCATGCTCTCTAAGCTCAAGCAAGAAGTGCACACAATAGCATACCATGAGAATTTCATTATATCAGTAAGAAGTAAGAACAAGAATGTACTGTACAGATGGTATGAAAGCTTCGCTCTAATGACAAAATTGCATGATGAAATCTATACAGTTTCAGTTGTACATTATTGTGGCTTTACTTTTCTGATTTCTTTAAGCTGCGCAACAATGTTAGCAAAGCTTCCTTCACATTTTGGCTCCTTGTTTGCCTCGTTTCCTCTGAAGTGACACGCAAGCTCTCAAGACCACGGCCCAGGGAGGCAATCATGGGAACAGAAGGTGCGGCCTCAGCAGCACACTCAATCCCATCTCCATGCTTCAGGAGGCCAGCACATGCAACCAAGCTAAAACTAAATGTTGCCCAAGGAGCTATTCGGAAAGGTCGGTTGTGCTTCTGCCTCTTTTGCATTATTTCGTAGAACGATGTCCGCATCGCCAACAAGCTAGTTCTCTCTACAGATGATATTACGGTGTGTGTCACCGCCCGAATCTTCTCTGCTGAAGCTGTGAACTGTAAAACAGATGACTTCGAACCAGCACTAACAACCCCATGAGAGAGGAGCTTGCTTAATACAACGCCGGCATGCCTTTGCAGCTGCATTAAGCCATACTTTAAGATCACTGGAGTTTTATAAGGAGCCAACTTAAGAATGGCAGATGCCTGGATGGTTTTCGACAAAGATGAAAAACCAAGAATTGCTGTTCCTCCCGCACCAACTGCGACCACAGGTTTCTCAGCTATCCAGCTCTTTTTATCAGTGCTGTCCGATGGCACCTCATTGTTATCACTCTCATTTTCGCTCTCATTTTTGTTGCCATAATGATTGAAGCAACTGCCAGCTAATTGTGTGATCTCCGAAGGAACAGGAGTGTTCCAGTGTCTCCTTATTCCAGCTAAGCAGCTGGCATCAACTACAGCCACCACAGAACCGAACTCCCTTAGTTGACTTCTGAGAGCTTGAACAAGAAGAATGTGGCACTTCTCCTCAGAAGGGAGCTCTGCAAAATCCAATTTCTCCAAACTATGATTATCCCTAGTATTAATGCGGCGTCTTCCTGCATTGTTTAAACATATTCTGAGAGCCTCTATTGCAATTCCAAATACATAGACATCAGATAACATTTCACTGCAAACTGGCTTCCCCTTGTGAACTTGAGTGAGCAACATCTGTGCAGAAGCCATAGCCTTCCCAATTGACGGAATTTGAACAAATATCTCATAAAGGTCAGAGAGCAGAGGGTAGACGGTCTGCGCAAAAAGTGGAGGCTCGTATCTGTCGGCCGGCTTACATTCTGACAGTCTGCACTCCGCAACAGCATAGGAAGAGATAGCTTGGGACAACAACAAGTTAGCAGTTGGAGCTAGCGACTTCATGAGCTGCCCTCCATAATCATCCACAAGGCATATCTTCCTGACATGGGAGCTTACTGCAGATGTGGCACTCTTAGGGAGCAAGCAGTTACTCTGTAACTGGAGACCAGATTTATCATCCATGGCACTCTGAGGAAGAGTGCAGCTAGTCTGCAATTGCGGAGCCGGATTATCGTCCGTACTATTTCCGTTGCTCGATCCACCCGCATTGCAATTCTTCTCATACGGAGAGCCGAGCAAGAGAAAATGCGACTCTGTCTCCTCCGCAGCTCTCTTGGCAGCCAATAGGTGGCCATAGAATCCAACCCCAAAAATCTCCCGGAGGACCTGGCAAGCGGCGGATTTCACATAGTGATCTTTGCTCTTCTTCTCGGTGATGCAACGCTTAATCACCTGTAGTGGCGACGCCGGCACGCCGCCCGCTCCGCCTTCAGCCAGGCACTGCTCCTCGATCAAAACGTCCTCGACCTCTGTGTGCGCGACCTGGGTGATCACGGCCCGGGGCCGCACCGCCCTGATCAGATGTCCGGCGTCCAAAGCGGACTGCTCGGAGAGGTTCTGCGCCGCGAGGATGTAGAGCAAGCCCTGCGTCTCGGGCTCCCGGATCGCGAACACGAACTGCTTCGTCTCCTCGGGCACGGAGAGGGTCCGCACCAGCCGCGCGGAGGCGCCCAGGTCGTCCTCCTTCAGGAGAGCCGAGAGCGGCCACAGGCTTTGAATGTACGAGAGCACCGCCGACGCCATGGCCGCCGCATCAGCGGTTGCTCCGCCGGCGACCTTCCGGGGGAGAGATGCTGCCTCCGATCGAACGGGGAGGGCTGACTTGCCCCCTTCTCCCCCTCTTATTCTTCCCCTCGGGGCCTGATTCGGGGGGCGAAGGGGTGCTCCTCGGCCGCTTCTGCCCCCGCCGAGACTCGCCGCCGGCGGTGGCGGTGGCGGCGGATGGTGGCGTAGGGCTACGGGAATTTGGGTGGCGTGCGTGCGGCTTGCCCTAGATTTCTTTCTGGAACTCCTTTTGCTTTTCTTTTTCTTCCGTTTTCTGCTACGAGTTGTCCATCTTTGCTCTGGGCGCGCCGGGTCCTTTCCAGACGCGCTTCTGCCTCGGTCGTTATCGGTCGGTCGACATGGGTTGAGGGTAGGACTAGCGTCGCATCTTCCCCCACTGTGAATACCAGGCAGGCCGAGCAAACATTCATTTTTTTTAACGGGGGAAGATTAACAGAAACAGAAATTCGTACAACAATATTTCATCGTAATACGATGTCTTATTTACTGGAGTATATCAATTTTTATAGTACAAATCACGTACACACCGGCCATCATAAAGAAAAAAGAAAAAATGTTTTTGTCACTCTAGTTTTTGCCCACTTTGCTTATGCCACTCTAGAATTTAACATTTCACTTTTGTCATTCTTAGCTTTTGACAATATATCAATTTTGCCATTCAGTGGCAAAAAAAATTTCAAAGTGGCAATTGTGATACATTGCAAAACTTAAGAGTGGCAAAAGTGAAATGAAAAATTATGGTTTTTGCCACTGAATGGCATTTGTGATGTATTGTCAAAAGTTAAGAGTGGCAAAGGTGAGATATCAAATTCTAGAGTGGCATAAGTAAAGTGGGCAAAAATTAAAATGGCAAAAACAAAATTTTCCCTAAAGAAAACATACACACCAACCTAATAAAACTGAACAAATAGTAAAACACTAGTCTTTGCACAAAGAAACATCATCCAAAAAGTAAAATTACAAACAAGACTGAAAAACCTCTAAGCTTGACACCATCGTCTGTCACTTTCCTCTGGCGCCACCACAACAATCACCATAGGAAAAAAATGTCGAATCACCTTCACACCCGAGTTTGACGTGGCTCCATCACTGATATGCAGGTTTGCGGACCTTCAAGGTGGCTCGCCAAAGGCCGTTACCATTGAACGAATCAGACCGGGACAACAACTCGAACACGCCATCGAACTCCAGATATGGCACCACCACACGATTAAGACGTCGGAGGAGGAAACCATACATGTCATCCACGTACCATGAACCCAGCATACGATCCATCATCTTTCAGATACCGCCGATGCAGATCACAATCTGCATCCGCTCCTGGACTACCTCCCAAGTTTCACGCCGGCACTGGAGTAGACATTGTCACAGCAGCGGACCCGAGGACACAGGTCCACCGCGAGGATGCAGCCGTCGCTACATACTTGCTTAAACATCTGGATTTTAGACCCATCCCCAACCAAAGAATAGATCGCCTCGTCAAAATAGGATATGAAGAAACTTTATTCAGCGCCGCTATCGCCGTCGCCAAAGCCAAGACGATGTACGATCTATAAAACTAAGCTACTTTGACCTAAAATTATCCACACGTGTGAATTTGGCGACCCCCTTACCAGCGACGACCGAGGTCATCGGCGAAGGGGAGCCGCCGGAGAACAGCACTGGAAGGCTGACTCTCTAATTGGCATATCTATCTACGACTTCCTTGTACAAAAACACGAGTTGATGATGTTGGGAAACGTAGTAATTTCAAATTTTCCTACGCACACACAGGATCATGGTGATGCATAGCAACGAGAGGGGAGAGTGTGTCTACGTACCCTCGTAGACCGAATGCGGAAGCGTTAGCACAACGCGGTTGATGTAGTCGTACGTCTTCACGATCCGACCGATCCAAGTACCGAACGCACGGCACCTCCGAGTTCAGCACACGTTCAGCTCGATGACGTCCCACAAACTCCGATCCAGCAGAGCTTCACGGGAGAGTTCCGTCAGTACGACAACGTGATGACGGTGATGATGATGCTACCTGTTGGAAATATGCTCTGGAGGCAATAATAAAATGGTTATTATTATATTTCCTTGTTCATGATAATTGTCTATTGTTCATGCTATAATTGTGTTATCCGAAAATCGTAATACATGTATGAATACATAGGCCACAACATGTCCCTAGTGAGCCTCTAGTTGACTAGTGATGTCTACTATACAACCTTCTTCTTGTAGACGTTGTTGGGCCTTCAAGTGCAGAGGTTTGTAGAACAATAGCAAATTTCCCTCAAGTGGATGACCTAAGGTTTATCAATCCGTAGGAGGCGTAGGATGAAGATGGTCTCTCTCAAGCAACCCTGCAACAAAATAACAAAGAGTCTCTTGTGTCCCCAACACACCCAATACAATGGTAAATTGTATAGGTGCACTAGTTCGGCGAAGAGATGGTGAAACAAGTGGTATATGGATGGTAGATAAAGGTATTTGTAATCTGAAATAATAAAAACAACAAGGTAGCAAGTGATAAAAGTTAGCGTAAATGGTATTGCAATGAAAGGAAACAAGGCCTAGGGTTCATACTTTCGCTAGTGCAAGTCCTCTCAACAATAATAACATAATTGGATCACATAACTATCCCTCAACATGCAATAAAGAGTCACTCCAAAGTCACTAATAGCGGAGAACGAACGAAGAGATTATGGTAGGGTACGAAACCACCTCAAAGTTATTCTTTCCAATCAATCCGTTGGGCTATTCCTATAAGTGTCACAAACAGCCCTAGAGTTCGTACTAGAATAACACCTTAAGACACAAATCAACCAAAACCCTAATGTCACCTAGATACTCCAATGTCACCTCAAGTATCCGTGGGTATGATTATACGATATGCATCACACAATCTCAGATTCATCTATTCAACCAACACAAAGGACCTCAAAGAGTTCCCCAAAGTTCTATCAGAGAATCATGACGAAAACGTGTGCCAACCCCTATGCATAGGTTCATGGGCGGAACCCGCAAGTTGATCACCAAACATACCTCAAGTGAATCACGTGATATCCCATTGTCACCACAGATACGCACGGCAAGACATACATCAAGTGTTCTCAAATCTTTAAAGACTCAATCCAATAAGATTACTTCAAAGGGGAAACTCAATTCATTACAAGAGAGAAGAGGGGGAGGAGAAACATAAGATCCAACTATAATAGCAAAGCTCGCGATACATCAAGATCGTGCCAAATCAAGAACACGAGAGAGAGATCAAACACATAGCTACTGGTACATACCCTCAGCCCCGAGGGAGAACTACTCCCTCCTCGTCATGGAGAGCACCGGGATGATGAAGATGGCCATCAGAGAAGGATTCCCCCTCCGGCAGGGTGCCGGAACGGGTCTAGATTGGTTTTCGGTGGCTACGGAGGCTTCTGGCGGCGGAAGTCCCGATCTAATCTCTGTCTCGGAAGTTTTAGGATACATGGGTATATATGAGTGCAGGGAGTACGTCAGGGGAGCCACGACGGCCCCACGAGGCAGGGGGCGCGCCCTAGGGGGTCGTGGCTTCCTCGTTCCTTCCTTGACGTGGGGTCCAAGTCCATCAGGTGGCTTTCATTCCAAAAATAACTTCTCTAGTTGATTTCGTTCCGTTTCGACTCCGTCTGATATTCCTTTTCTTCGAAACACTGAAATAGGCATAAAACAGCAAATCTGGGCTGGGCCTTCGGTTAATAGGTTAGTCGCAAAAATAATATAAAAGTGGATAATAAAGCCCAGTGTTGCCCAAAACAGTAGATAATATAGCATGGAGCAATCAAAAATTATAGATGCGTTGGAGACGTATCAAGCATCCCCAAGCTTAATTCCTGCTCGTCCTCGAGTAGGTAAATGATAAAAAGATAATTTTTGATGTGGAATACTAGTTGGCATAATTTCAATGTAATTCTTCTTACTTGTGATGTGAATATTCAGATCCGAAAGATTCAAGACAAAAGTTCATATTGACATAAAAATAATAATACTTCAAGCATACTAACTAAGCAATTATGTCTTCTCAAAATAACATGGCCAAAGAAATTTCATCCCTACAAAATCATATAGTTTAGTCATGCTCCATTTTCATCACACAAGAATGCTCTCATCATGCACAACCCCGATGACAAGCCAAGCAATTGTTTCGTACTTTAGTAATCTCAAACTCATAAACCTTCACGCAATATATGAGCGCGAGCCATGGATATAGCACTATGGGTGGAATAGAATATGATGATGGAGGTTATGTGGAGAAGACAAAAAGGAGAAAGTCTCACATCAACGAGGCTAATCAATGGGCTATGGAGACGCCCATCGATTGATGTTCATGCAAGGAGTAGGGATTGTCATGCAACGGATGCACTAGAGCTATAAATGTACGATAGCTCAACTAAAGAAACTAAGTGGGTGTACATCCAACTTGCTTGCTCACGAAGACCTAGGGCACTTGAGGAGGCCCATTGTTGAAATATACAAGCCAAGTTCTATAATGAAAATTCCCACTAGTATATGAAAGTAACAACATATGAGACTCTCTATATGAAGAACATGGTGCTACTTTGAAGCACAATATATGAGACTCGTTATATCATGGTGCTACTTTGAAGCACAAGTGTGGAAAAAAGGATAGTAGCATTGCCCCTTTTATTTATTTTTTATTTTTTATTTTTTATTTTTTTGGGCCTTCTCCTTTTTTATGGCCTTTCTCTTTTTTGGGGACAATGCTCTATTGAATGATGATCATCACACTTCTATTTATTTACAACTCAATGATTACAACTCGATACTAGAACAAAGTATGACTCTATATGGATGCCTCCGGCGGTGTACCGGGATATGCAATGAATCAAGAGTGACAAGTATGAAAAAATTATGAACGGTGGCTTTGCCACGAATACTATGTCAACTACATGATCATGCTAAGCAATATAACAATG